ATACTTAGGACCTGGTCCATCTAATTATTTACTTGAAACCAATTTTATTAAGGATTGCAATTACAAGCGAATGAAAATCTAAAGAGATTACCTATATATATAGACCTACCCGCTAAAATCTATACTAATATTATAAAGCTGAAGAGTTTGTTTGTTTGTTTGAACGCGCTAATCTCAGGAACTACTGGTCCGATTTGAAAAATTCTTTCAGTGTTAGATAGCCCATTTATCGAGGAAGGCTATAGGCTATATATCATCACGCTAAGACTAATAGGAGCGGAGCACCAATGAAGAATGTTTCAAAAACGGAGAAAATTTATTACTATTGAGAAACGCAGACGAAGTTGCGCGGGCCAGCTAGTTATATATAAATAAACATAAAGGCCTTCTCTTTATCATTTTATCATTAGTCATAATTATAATATAAAAGCTATAAACGTAACGATGTTATTTGATTTTTATGATAAGATATCAAAAATACACAAATCACAATAAATGTTATGATTCATATGACGTGTGACGCTGACGCGAGTAAGAATACGGAATGTCACCAACCCTATTCATCCCGTGGGAGTCGTAAGAGCCGACTAAGCGACAAACTACGCAGGACAACAGCACTACAAACAAAGGAAGAGAAACCAACCGACCCATCTGGCGAGCGTGGTATAGTAGTCCAAAACTTCCTTTCCAAATAGAGACCTATGACTAGCATTGGACTATTAGCAAACCCCCAAATAGGGGGGGGGGGGTGGGGTGGGGGGCTCTGGAGTTGTACTTGTCCATGGGTGGCGGTAGTCACTTACCATCAGCAGGCAAACAAGCAGACGGGTCACTGTCTGCTTGTTTGCCCGCTATACAATAAAAAACGATACCACAAGTCTTTCAGGGGAAACGTGATTGCAATGGCTTGGAAAGGTAGGGTCGATTCGCATCCATGTTTGCATATAAAAATGTTTAGTACTAGCTTTTTAGCCTATGGTACTCGCTGATAATGTAGCTTTTGATTGGCGAAAGAATTTTTCAAATCGGTTGGGTGGTTTAGGCGTGAAAGCGTTACAAACAATCACTTTCTAATTTATAATAAACTAGCTTTTACCCGCGGCTCCTCGTGCGTGTCCGATGTCTGTTATCGCGGTACAAACTAGTGGTTTAGGCGTTAAAGTATAACAAACAAGCAAACTCTCTTTCACATACATAAATTACATCCAGACAGAACAAATTACAATCGTGCTCTTAACACCATATAATTTGTCTTGGGTGGCAATTGAACCCACGAACTCCAGTTTAGCGCTCAGCATCGCTAACCACTTTTTTTTATGATAGAGGGGGCAGACGAGCAGACGGGTCACCTGATAGACAGTGACCACCGCCGCCCATGATCGTCTGCAACTCAGGAGTCACAAATGCGTTGCCGACCTTTTAGGAAGGAGTACGCCAGAAAACTAACCCAACAGGCCCGTAAAGTTATTGTTTTTTTTTTATTTTAACTTTTCATTTCCAATTCCGTCTTTAGCAAATTTATAGTTTGATGTCACTTTTTGTACAGAAACATAGAAGGGTATTATTGAGGTCTAATGTTTTTTGCTTTATCTTTTTTACACGATACGAACTCACGCGCAGCAAGTAGTGTTGCTATAGTTGGTTATCGATAGTTAGCTATGACATTTTTTTTTGTGTTTGATTTCGTTATGAGTTTGTTTTCTTTGCAATAGGTTTTTTTCTTAGATGCAACGTTTTTTTTTACAAGCTCTGCTCAGTTTAGGACAAGATGGCGTTGTGTGAATGTGGTAGATTATTATTATTATTATTATTTATTTATAATGTGCCACAGCAAAACGTAGCGGGGTATAGCTGGTTATTAAAATCCCATTCTGTTATTTGTTATTGTTATTGTCATTAAAATCTACATAAAAAATTAAAGTGTTATAAGACGATTATTTTTAAGATGTTTGCGTCACTTAAATTTCTAAGACTCGTTTGGTTTTATCAGAGATCTCAAGTACCTACTTAACCCTGATTAGGTTGAGTTTATATTAAACGTGACACTTGTTAAATAACTTTTAGGGTTCCTTACTTCAAATATACCACAGACATTTCCAAACGTATGACTGACTTCAATGGGCTTAAATCACTACAGAATGTAAAAAGCTGGAATCTTTCAAATTGGTTCCTGCTTTTTTTTTTTAAGTCAACCCGTTTAAAACAACCCGTATATGGTCACAGTCTGTCCTGCTACCAAAATTATTTCTAGAAATGTGTTGAGTTCAAAAACTTACGTCTGCGCTCCAGCATCGAAGTCGACGCAATTAAATAACTTTAGTGTAAATAAAACGAATACGGGTATTTTTCATTGACATCATCATAAAATTTAGTTAAAAAATTGGTTGCCTGTAAAGTCGGTATACGGGCGAAAGTTTTACGTGACAACGACTTTGAGTGGTAAAATAATTTTAATGTGAAAATTCATTCGTATAGTAGGAAGAAGGATGAAATAATAGTAACAATTTAAAACATTTATTTATACAAAGAATTATTTATGTCTGTCTCTCTCGCTCTTAGGCGTTCTAACCATGCCCGAGTGGAAGGGACGCGTGCCTCTCACTCGCTCTCATTGTGAGCGCATAACGTGAGCGGAGCGTAACGCAGTTTCTTGAAGTGTCACCCGGCAAACCAATTTATAAGACGTTGTCACGTCAATAATCCAAGGGTTTTTAATTTATTGTTAGATATTAAACATAAATATTTTTGGGATAACAAACTTATACTTGTGCTTGGCGAATTGTCTGTGACGTTTATCGATGTATGGGTATATTTTTAAAGAGGTAACGTGAGGTCTTTAATCCGATTTGAGATACTTTAAATCCGGTTAATTTCGTAGGGACATATTCGGAAAATATCTCCGAAAATCTATTCCTGACACGGACGAGCTAATTATTTGTGTGTACGGAACTCGTGCGCGAGTCAGACTTACAATTGTTGGTTTTATTACGATATTTTTGACTAGCAATATGTAAAAATTCGTGTGTTATTTATGGCAACGGTTTCTTTATCGAACTTCTAAGAAATCATTTTTTTTTATTTTGTGGTTTTAAACGCTAATAAACTATTTGAGTAACGACAAGTGGGACTTGGCAGGCACTTTATTCCGTCCTTTTACAATTAACTAAAATGGAGTTTTTTAGCTTAGGTGTATTATCTGATAAGAGTTTTAATAAATTGTAGCGGAAACACAAGCTTTAAATAAACATTTATCAATTACTTTTATTTTCCTCTAATTCTATTATCCTCGATTTACCAAAACCTATATTTTATCGAGACTCGAATGTAATACAATAACGTCTATTATTCCCCACGAAACAACATTTCTATCTCGATCTGTTGAAACATAACGCTAACAGCTTTAGCAAAATTTTATCAGAAAAGGAAGATACTCCAATTATCTTTGTTTTTTTTTAAATACACACTTGAGAAGAATAACAGAAACCTTCAAACGTGTAATCATTTAACACGTACAACTGTTCTCCGAACATTTAGTGCCCAAATATAGATGGCGTAGTAGTTTAAGCGGTTACCTCGCCGCTTCCTACCGTGCTGAGTGTTGTGGGTTCGATCCCCAAATGAAATAACCCTTTGTGTGATCCACAGTCTGTTTCATGTATATTTGTAGTCTCCCGCGACACAGGATATGTATCCTAGTGCGAGAGTTGTCTTTGAATTAAAAAAAAAATGCAAGAGGATATTATGTCCCTCCAATGGAGGATTAGGTCTGGCAAACCCAGGCACAATGTTTGATGTTGGGAAGTTATATAGGTATACTAATCAGTGCGAAGACTTTAATTACGCGATACAGGATTAATACTCTGTAGTTTGGTGTGCCATGTTCTTCGTTGTATGTCGAAGATGCCACAACAGCAAAATGAAACACTTGATTTTGTTAAATATAAGGATTGAAAAACCGAGTGTGTGGTAGGATCTCTTTAGTTGCAATTTCACAAAATATTTTTTGAACGCATTTATAGTTTCGCCAAATACTTGAATTTATTCGTTTTTAATAACGTAGTATGATTCTTGGATTGATTGACAATAAGGATTTCGTTAAATGAAATTGTTTCTTAAACCAGGGAATCGTACTAACGTATAAAATACATATATGATAAATATCTTTGTTTGTTTGCCTAGATCTTTTACGGTTAATACATGATCCTTAGAGCATTCAGAAATAATGTCACAATTGGATATATTGTTTAAGTTGGCTTATAACTATATTTAGTGGTGGGCATTGGTGAAAGTTTAATGAACTGTAATATTAAATGATAAGTGAAAAATATTCCAAAAGTAATCTACAGTTATTTCTTTGCCGCCCACAATATGTGATAATTATTACCTAGTTTGAAGATATAAGGTTATATAGCATATAGTCCTAATACATAAATATAGATAGAACGTCCATTATATCGTAGAAAATCTATTTACTTAAGCTTAGGAGCAGATGCTAGTCTAGCCTAAATCTGTTCAGTTTTCTGAGCCTATTATAGAGCGTAGGAAATTCGCCTTAAAACATTCGTAAACCACGTTCTTCATTTGAAGTCTATCGTTCATATGACCTCAAGATTCTGAAACATTGACGATATCTATCTCGGGTAACTCAAACCCCGAGCAATGTCCTTGAATATAATTAATCATTAACAGTCGGCACGTGTTGTACCATAAATATGTAGTTTTATGCATATTTAAGTTATATCATATCGCGTGTTAATGTATTTGTGTGTTCACCAACGGTAGCGGACGGTTTTGAATTTGATGTTATCTTCACACGAATATTTTTGCAGTTTTCAATCAGGCCCAGCACGTTCTCAGTGTACTGCTGTTCTTTACACCAACACATACCTGAGCTCTGTATTCAACTGCCTTATTTACTGTTTGTGTTCGACAAATCTAGTTGCAAAACAACTTATATTACGAGAACTGTTTAAAATTTAATTTTGACCTTTGGAGTCTTCATGTGTGATAGCAAGCCGGTGCGGTCAGACTCTGAAAGGCTAAAAGCATCCATAACCGACGAGCGTGATGAAAGGCCTTATGAACAGGACTACGTGATTGTATGTTAGTATAAAATTATTCTGTTGGGTGTTGAAATAAATTCATTTGTGAAAACATACGGTTTCCATTTTGGCAGGACCGTATAACCAAACTGCTTTTAATTTTGTATGACGATAAATAAACTTTTTCCTTGTTAATATTATCGTTCGCTAGGTATTGATGCCTTGATAGGTCTCTTGTGCCAATAAATGTTTAGGCAATTAGTAACAAACATAACGCTAGATTTTTGACTGATTTTGGTGTAGGAAGTTGTTGGTTGCAATTTTTACAATAAATTTTGCATGAGGGTAGTTGTAAAAAAGTATATACAGATTAGATATATACTTTCAGAAACACCTTCGTGCAAATGTTGCTTAATTGCTAATATATAATTGTTGTTAGATTAAAGTGTGTTAAGTACGATTAAATTTGTTGATATAGTTTTGTATTTATGTACGTATTATTACGTAAGTATTAGATTTAATTTACGGTGGACAACATTAATTTACCCGCGAGTTATTGTGTTCACTGACTGAGATTGTGGTGAAATTAGCAACTAGCTTTTTTTATAATCGGTAACGTAAAAATGTATGAATGTAAATACTTTGATTGACTATGTGATTATAAAACTGATAAGAATAATAGCGAGGCTTCATGTATGTACACAAACATTGCCGTGTGCAATTGCCAATAAATTGTTATTAAATAAATATATAAAATGTCGTTGGTTATCTAATTAAGTAACAATTAAATCTCCCTTTTTTTTTGTTAGAAGAACTTGCGTTGCGACTTGCTAGATTACTTTTTTCATAAATTTCCTAGTTCCTAGTTTTAAGTAGTAGGTATTTTAAGAGAAACATCGTTATTTAATGGTATTTTACCTACCTATTCCGTTTATACCCGTTTATAGTATGAGAAAAGATGGTATGGTACTACGACATTTTCTGCTTGTGGGTAGATTAGAAAAAAGTTAGTTGCAATGGACGTTTTAAGATAAAATGATTAATGCCATCATATCTTCAAAGTGAGTCATTCGTATTTAAATTTTAATCTGTGATTGTTTATAAATGCGGGTAGTTTACTTACATTGTAATTGTTTAGATTTCTAAGAAAAGTATGTTGAAGATTTAAGTGTTTATTTGTCGTTAAATATGAGTAATTTTAAGTGAGACGTAGCAATGTGCCTATACATGTCATTATATTTTTAATTTTAGTTTTTATTGTAATTTATCACCAACGATTTGAATTATAAAACTTAAATATGTTATACTGTTTGCATTTTTATTTTGTATCCATATTACTAAGCTAAACCTTTTCTTAATTAAAAGTCACAGGAGTTACACCTTAATTTGGAAGTGAGAACATTGGTTTAAATTATGAGTACGTTTGTGTAAGCCTTTAAAACTGTTTTACAGATACCTAATATAATAAGACTCATAACTAAAAAACAGTTGTTCCTTTCTCTAAAAAAGACGTTGTTTTTATTTGATATCCAAAAATAATACAAAAAGTTCCGTAAAATATGTTTTTACTTGCGAAATATTATGTCATAAATAAATATTTGTGAAGGCCCTGGGATTGAGAGGATTAATATCGGGAATCAGCTACCTCACCTACCCCACCAGATTTCTACACCACCCAAAGGTTGGCTGGTAGAGAATGCCCTGGGCATTAAGTCCGCCGATGTACACAAGTGCATAAAGATAAAAAACATCAACACAAGATAAAAAAATTGAAGAGTATTTCAACGCACTTGTTTTCTGTACTTCGATTTGTATTGACGTCCAATTGCACTTTTTAAAAACAATGTACAGAAATTACAAAGACAAAGTAAATTACTGTTATGATTGCCCGACTGCGCAAAGACGTATTGAAAGGAATCTGCTTCGAATCTCAGGAATACTATTCACCAGGTACAGAAGGTCACCAGTTTTGGTTTGACCATCAATAATGATAAATTTGAAAGGTCCCCTTTAATGCACTAAGGGACATGTACGTCGATGGCAAGTCTGTTGGTATAGTGGTTAGTGACCCCGATTGCCGTGAGCCGAAGGTCTTGGTTTCGATTCCCACCCAGGACAAATAATTGTGTGATGAGCGCGATTATTTGTTCTGTGTCTGGGTTTAATGTATCTATTATAATATGTATGTATTAAGAAATATATAAGTATGTTTATCAGAAGTCTGGTTACTAGTACTGGCTCTGCCTAGTTTGGGAACAAACTACTATAAAACTTAACATTTATTATTAATAAAACTTATTATTGAGAAATAAATGAATGCAAGAAAATAAATCTACAAAATATGAAACACTAGATGGAATTATTCTGTTGTAAAAAACGAGTGCAAGCGACTTTATTCGGCGATACTGACTGTTAATCCAAAGGTCGTTTCAGGTCAGGTCAAGTTCGATTGCCAACCGAATATTGTGTGATAAGCACGATCATTTGTTCTGTGTCTGGATGTAATTATCTATAAAACGTAATAAGTACCTATTTCGAAATATAAGTATGTTCATTGACTACACGGATGGTGTAGAGGTTTAAGCGGCCCCCACGCCGCTTCCTACTACGCCGAGTGTTGTGGGTTCAAACCCCTCATGGGACGACACCTTGTGTGATCCACAAATTGTTGTTCTGAGTCTGGGTGTTCCTTGTGTCCGTTTCATGTATGTATGTATGTTTGTAAAGTCCCCCGCGACATAGGATATATTCCTAATGCGGGAGTTGTCTTATTAAGAAAAAAAATATTAGAGATTTCTTTTCGCCTCAGCCGTAACATCTAGGGCTATACCCCTTAAAACGGTCCCGCACAGGTGACGCCACAACCTCCCGGACGCGATGAGACTGATGTACTTCTCTCACGGCTTCTACCTCCAAGGCATGGGCTAGGACGTCCTTGAGTTTCATGGTGCCCAAGCCTCACAGCCGCTGTCACTTCGAGGTCACGGTAGCACGATCAATGGTAATAGGTTTTGCCACCTGTTATATATTTATTTATTTATTTAATACTTAGGTTCTTCACAGCTGACAGTATATAGTTTACATAATAATAGTCGAACAATACGCCAATTACGAAGTACATAATTAATTGCACACAGCAAGAGTAAACATTCTGTATGAATATACCTAATAAGCAATAATGTAGTATTGGGTGGAGGTGGGCTGGGGCAGGGGGGGTTGGATAGGTATACAGGCAAGACACATCAGCCATAGATTTTACGGCAGAGACGGATTAAGGAGGTCTAAAGCTCTTGTCTCATTTTATGCAAAACTGCGATTAAGTAATGAGAGTAGCATACAAGTAGGACGCATTTGCATAGAACAGATTTTTTACAACAGGTTCGAATCAAGGAAATTCTGGAAGAAATTATAGGTGATACGAATCTCTGGCCATCTTGTTGGCCGTGGTTATCACGAAGATATGGTCATTTTGTGGCCTATCAAATTTAATTAGATCTTTCTACTAAATGTGTACAGTAGGTGTTACGACTTTGTATGAAATAGCTAGACGTGACGTCATTACAACCTGCTCTCAAATCATTCGCATTTTTTAAATTAGTTATTTTTACGTAATCATCCGTGTGGTGACGGATTAAGAATACGGAGTGTCAGTTTTACAAGCGAGTCGTACCTTCGAGTTATGTAGTAAAAATTTTGATCGAAAGTTCTCGAAGGAATATAATCGACGGTATACAGAAAATAAAGCGTCACCCAGGGTACCCGAGAGATCGAAGGACACCGTTGTAAACTTGTCAAACGTGAGTTTAGATGATACAACAATGAACATCTTGGCTAAAGGTATGAACTTCGCTCCGACACCTAAACGAATACCGTTCGAGAATGTAATCAGTAGCGTCGAGGAATCGATTACACGGAAGAAAGTACCGCCCGGCGATGCCGATATCCTAAGACAGGACGTTGCGGTAATATTACGTCGGTCAAAGCTTCCGGCTAGTAATATCACTATCGAAGAGCGTCAAGCACTAAAAAACATTAGGGATAACCAGGATATTTTAGTGCTTAAGGCCGACAAGGGAAACGCTACCGTAGTGATGAATACAACTGATTACAAAAGCAAAATACTTGATCTGTTGAGTGATAATAAGGTTTATAAACCGGTAACATACAACCCCACGGCCAGAGTAACGCGAAAAAAACGATCTCTAATCCGGGACAATGAGGACCTATTTTCAGAAGACGAGTACAACAGACTGTACAAACCAAAGTCACACCAGCCACCGAAATTATATGGTCTGCCTAAGATACACAAGCCTGACGTACCGCTGCGGCCGATTGTAAGTCAAATTGCTTCTCCTACTTACGATCTAGCAAAGCACGTTGCTTCAGTATTGCAACCACTTATAGGCAAAACACCGTCTTTTGTGAAAGACTCACGGCACTTCATACAAATCATAAAAGATCTGACGTTGGAACCGGATGACGTCATGGTGAGCTTTGACGTGGAGTCGCTTTTCACCAATGTTCCAATAAAGGAGTGCCTAAACGTCGTAAAAGACCTACTGAGAGACAACGAGCTGCCGTTAAACTATATGGATCTACTTGAACACTGTTTAGATGGCAACTATTTCCTTTTCCAAGGTCAACATTACCTCCAGATTGATGGTGTCGCGATGGGAAGTCCTGTAGCCCCAGTACTGGCCAACATCTGGATGGAACATTTTGAAGAGAAGGCTTTAAATCTCGGCCCGAATACCGTTAAGCTATGGAAGCGATACGTGGATGACATTTTCAGTATCGTCAAAGGAAACAAACAAGAAGTGGATCAATATATACAACATCTGAACTCTATTCACCCCAAAATGAGGTTTACATATGAAATGGAGACGGACAGGTCGTTGTCCTTCTTAGATGTTAAAGTAGCCGTGAGATCGGATGGGTCCTTGTCACACTGTGTGTACCGTAAACCTACTCATACGGACAGATACCTACACGCCACGTCTCATCATCACCCCCGGCACTTGCAATCTGTTATGACTTCACTCAAAAACAGAGCTTAC